TCTTCCCTGAGAAGTCCCTGCTAAAGCATTCCCCATCGCAGTGCCTGTGGAGAGAGCCTGATAGCAATTGGTTACCTCTACAGGAATGGGAGATACCTGAGTTGTCTGCCTTCTCCTTCTTGAGATTACATGCTGCCAGTTTTCTTCCTTGTCCTGTACTGCCCTGTTTGGCTCTTCAGCCTGCTGTGCCTGCAGGATTAAACGCTGCCTTCTATCGAGGAAGTTGTCTTCTTCTCTGGTAGAACATAGAGTCGATACTTGGGCCTCACATCCTCTAACTTTTCTTCCAAAATGGTGACCATCTTGCACTTAGTGCAGATGAAATCCCTTCTTTCTTCCAGGAGAGAGACAAACATGCTGTGCAGGTAACAGCAGACCTATCACCATCCATACCTACCTTCTTTCTGAGAGATTCCCCAGTTGTTTTTAAATGCCTCCTTGAAGAGCAGGAGAGAAACAAAATTAAAAAAAAAAAGACCACCAAAGCTTCCTCTCCAAACTCCCTGTTGTTAAATCTGTCTCTAATTGAGGGCCAACTTAGCAGTGATTTCGGTGTTTCGTCTCCAAATCGGTATTTCCCAGCTCCAAGGTAGTTAGACTTTTGAGAGATGTCATTCTCTTTCCACCAATGAAAGAAGTAATTCCTCTCTTGGATCTTAATGTTGTGCTCGCTGCTCTTGTGGGATCTCCATTTGAGTCTCTAGCATAACATTCGCTTTTCCAAATGACAGCCTTTCTTGTAGAATCAGCTAGGAGGGAATTTAGGAAGGCTGACATGAATGCTGGTAGTTTCCCTGCAACCTAGACCAGGCCTGCACAACATACGGCCCAAGGGCTGCATGCGGCCCTCAGGGGCTCACTGTGCGGCCCGTGACAACTACGGGCAGCCCCATCCAATCCCCCCCGCCGGGGAGGGGGAAGTGCGGCAATTCTCGCCGCTGGGCTGCCTGCATGCAGCTCCAGCGCAAGGAGGCGGAGTGCAAGCCAGAGGGCGGGATGCCAACAGACGCTAGGATGCTGGCGTGGTGACGTCACGGCCAGCGACCGCCGGATTCAGAGACTCCAGCAGCTCCGCAAACTGGAAGGCAGAAGCCACGTAGGGGAGGGAAAGGGTCTTGTGCTAAGGGGGCTGATCTATGCTGCGAGCAAGAAGGGAGGCTTTGTGCTCTCCCTTCCCACCCCCAGCAAAGTCCCTCAGTCTCCCATTGGCTAAA